AATCCTAAATTGATATCCCAAAAATCGAGTGTTCTCTGATTTTTTGAACAAATGTCTGCTGGAGCAGATTTTTCTAGAAAAATTCGAATAACTCGAGAACGGCCGAATCAAATTGCAAAAAGTAAAGTTATTTATAAACCTTGAAAACAGACAAATCCAAATATGTAAAAATATACAGGGTGTTCCATTTAAAAAAATAAAGTAGGTGGCGACTTCCGGTATAACCGGAAGTGCAAGAAATCTGAAAATATTTTAGTCGAAGAGATCGTAATTGATAATACTTAAGTCTGAATTCTCAAATTTTTATTTTCACCAGAACCCCAGAAACGTCTAATGACCGGTCTCGCTGAGACACCCTGTATAGTGTTTACCAACCTATTAAAAATTAATTGATTAATTGAGTTAATTTCCACATCACATCCATATTAATTTATCCTGATCCAACCCCACTCAGCGCTCTTCTTATCTCTTATTATGGTTTTATTATCCTCTACGCTTCGTTATAGAACATCAATTCAAAAGTTGTTTGTAGAACACTAGGTATTGCTTGCAAAACACTAGATACCGTTTGCAGAAGACTAAATACTGTTAATTGAGGCCTACATCCTCCTTATAGAAAGCTAGATAGTATTAGTAGAAATAACGCAAGATTAGATAATATCTCTTATAATGAAATAAAATAAACCTAATTAAAAATTGACACATATATTTATTAATTTAAATAATTATGTTTTGTATACTTCTCCAATTTTTCTTTTAAATAGGTTTAACAACACTCAACAGAATTTCACGTGAAGCATTACTACCAAATGGCCTCGAAACAAAATGCAGAATGAACGCTGTAAATACACCAACGGCTTTCCAAGATTTAACGGTATATATATATACCTAACAAAAAGAATTTTTTTTTTTATGTTTTTAATATTTTAGGCGTCCTTCCAAAACTTCTGGTCTTGCGCGTCATCAAATCTGTTTGGGGGAAATCCAGATGATTGTCCAAAAATATCAAGAACGGTTGAAATTTGCGCTGATGAATTTTACCCAAAATTACGACAATGTTTATTACCAAAAGAAGACGAATTCTTCATCGGGTTTGTTAGAGATTCTATTAAAGCCGTTTTGGAGTTTGCTTGCAAGGATAATGCATTAAATTTACGTGGTACGTTTTATTTAATAGAAATATAATAATTTACGTTTGTTTATAATTTGTTAATTTAAATGTTCTTTCCAGATTTCCTTACAGTTGGGGGTTTAAAATGTTTAAAAAATTCCGAAAGTACTCATAACTTTGAAGGATGTATGGAAAGAGTAGATAGACATAAAGTTGAAAATGGTCAAGTGGTAATTGAAGAAGAAGCTCTGTGTAAGTAAGTAAACTTTACTAATTATTAAAAAAAATTGTTAATAATTTGTTTAAACAGAGATATTGATACTATTCGAATGTGTTCTGTGAAACATATAAAAGCCAGTAGCTGCCATAAAGACGAAAGATTTACGGAGCTAGTTGATGGTTTTATGGGGGCGATTCATTCACCTTGCAGCGCAACTTCGATATTTGTAAATTTAACGCTTTTATTTACATTAATATGTTACCATTTGAAAAAAATGTTTTGAATAATCCATCTCAAAATGATATTTTTAATTTAATGTATGTTTATCTTGAATTATATTTAATAAGGGCACAAAACTAAATTTATGCAAGTTTGTAATTGTAACTTTTTAAAGGTTATATTTTTATATTGATGAAATCATTATTAATTTTATTATTTTGGAATAATGATATATATATATTCCTTTGGATATTAATTAATTTTACTGTATAAAGCCATTTTTTATATATAGACGTTTCTAACTGTTTATGCATTATTAATAATATTATTATAATCCTTCAAGAACCAGTTTAAATAAAAAATGGCTTACTTATTATTATTATTCTCGAAGTTAAGTGGTTAAATGTACTTATAGTAACTGATTTAAATCATTATTGTGTCTCGATCTTAGAATTATTGAAAATGTAAAAATAAATACTGTTTTAGTTTATTTAACTTTATTTTTATTTCTAAATATACCGAATGTAGTTGATGCGGATGTCCAGGGCAGCGCTAAAGCGTTTGTGGGGCCAGACCCAGCAGGTGATGTATCATTTGCGATGGCCAAACAAACATAGGATTGATCTGTGGGCTAAAGAATGATTTTGCCTATTGTGGACTTGGACCAGTTCTCCTGGAAAGAACTGCTAAACCCGGGAATATCTTACGACTTGCTTGTAGCAGCATTAAAGTTCTAATGGATGTCTTTACTGGGCACTACCGATTAAAAGCACCCCTCCACTTGTTGGGTCTAGCCGACGATGTTCAATACCGACTATGTGCGGAGGACGAGAAGACGGTTGAGCAAGTTTTATGCTACTGCCCTGCTGTTAATCGTATCAGATTCTCGATTTTTGGGTCGCTGTTTATCTCTCCAAAGGATCTGAATGACTTTGAGCTTCTTGCTGAGCAAAGTATTGTAATAATTTTAACATTCTCTTAGTTCACCGAGAGAACATAACCTAGAATTTGTGACAGAGATTTTTTGTTGGTAAAAATCTTATCTTAAACCGTTTTGTTTACTTCCAAATGTATCAATTATTATAGTTCAGCTCCTAAAGCACATTTTTCATCCATCTTTTGAGGTTTTAACGTTATTTTGAGGAAGAAATCCTTGATTTAAATTTGAATTTTTCTAACTTTACTCATTGTTGAAATTTGGCGTGTACTCCAATGTATGTCTAAAAACAAGAAAAGACAACGTTGAATACGAAGTTTTATTACGTTTCATAAAGGAATAAGGGAGAAATCAACGAAAAAAGAATTAAATTTTGAAGGTTAATTCCGAGAAAAATCAAGAGATGACGCTAGTTTCGAAGCAAGAATTTTGAATTTTGAAAAGGGCGCGAAGCTAAGAGCCAATCAGAAACGAGGAAAAAACAGTTGGAGTGCCGGGGTATATAAGGAGATCGCGAACAGGGAGTGAGAGAGTCGTCGTCGGACCAGCGTCGAATCCACGTCGTCAGATAGAAGAAATTTTGAATCTCAAGAGATAACCTCAAAAATTTAAGATAATTTTTTTAAAAAGTCAAATCAACTTACAATATTAAAATAAAAAGTGAATCATCCTACAACCTATTCCGAAAACTACCGATACTTCTTCGAGATCATCCAAGACCCTATTTCCGAAGAACAAACAGTTTAATTTCCCGTAAGAAGAATCCTGTAGACAATCCAGAAAATTAGTTAGTGCCCCCAACACAAGAGACAATCCATAATCCAGATACCACATTGAACTCCAATCCTTTCTTTTTCACAGTGAGTCGGATGATAATTTTATTTTATTATTTAACATAACCTACAAAAAGAAAATTCAAAGAATCAAACTCAAAGAACAACTCACAAGAGTTTCCTATAATTTTGATCAATACTTACTTGTGTGTAAAGATTTATTAGTTTTTCTTGAATAACGTTCATTTATTTAATTCTATTTTTTTTTTAAACGAGTTTGATGACAATTTAAGACATCGGCCATTTGTTATTTTCAAAGAACGGTTCTAACTAGTTTTATCCTACTCTCTCTCTCAAATAATAAACTGGTTCTCTCTAATATCGATATTTCAGTCGATAACCGCAGTTATCTATTTTATTTTAAAAATTTATCTCTCGTAAATAAGCAGTGTTATTAAAGTTAATTTAGGAAAACCATTTTTTTTGTTGTTACTCATAAAACGAGTTAATTTGATTTTGTATTAATTAAATGAATTTTTTGTCGAACCTGATTAATATTCTTTTGAACCTGAACTTGCCCGAAACCCTGAGTTTTTTAATAAGAGTCTCTTAAAATTAAAGAAACCCAAATTTATAGATTAATAACTTGTATATAAAACATCACACAAGTAATACAGCACAGTATTAATGTTCGTTAAGAGCATTGGACTGCACTCATAACTCATAAACCATGTACTCGATTATCAAGATCTATACGTCACACGAAATCACAAAATGCCCTAATGGCATTTAAATAGCTAAATGCAGTTGTTGAAATGCCCGATTCGACATATTTAATAATATTTAATCAAACACATCAATTATTTCCTTAATTAATTAATCAATTTTAGTTATCAACGTTTCAATCGAAAGTATGATCCACAATGAATGCGAAGGCGGAAATGCCCGATCTCAAAATTTACTAATTACCTACGTACGGTTATTTAAATGACTCCACGTATCTAGCGAATGGAAGTTTAGCCCCCAATAAGAGAAGAAATTAATTTTGATTAAATTCGCTATAAGCAAAGAACGGTTGGACGGATTTTAATGTTTTATATCTCAAACGAAAGCTTGCCTCCGCCTGAATAATTATGTCGAAATATTTAAGAATTTTGATTAAAACACAAAAACTACTTAGTCAAATAAGTCAATTATCTCCTAATAGAATTGAAAACGACTCACCGATTGGATGTTGTTTCCTTTGGATTTTACTTCGAACCTCAGCTGGAAAGAAAAGATAAATAAATTATTGTGACAAAAAAAATGAATTAATACGATACCTTCTAACATCCATAAAATAGCAATCCGATGATCTCAACTATATCACATCACTAATATCACCTAACTTTATCACTTAATTCAAGTAATAAGTTTTATTTTTCAAAGCTACTTTATCACCCTTAAATGCCCGCACATCAACTAAAATGCGTTATTAGCGAATCAACTTCCAAACATCCCCTCCTTAATTTATTGTGTGAAGAAGGAAAACTGGAGGTGAATCAACAAAAAATGTAAAGACGACGTTGCCAAGCGGTTTTAAATCGTTTTTTGGTTCAACCTTTCAATAAAAAAATTACTCGTTTTCTCGAAACATTTTAAATAAAACTTACGTCATTTTATTATAATAAAACGCACTATCGAATTTTAATGTTCAACACTTCCTGCAAAAGAATCAGGTGCCCAACAAATAATTAAAACGAAGCACTCGAGACGTTGGATAAATTTAAAAAAAAAGTCGTATCTCAAGAACGAATTGAGATATCATCATGAAATAAAGAACATTTTAAAGCAAATTTTATGAAGGTTTAATTAATGTACCATAAATAATGTCTTATCTATCGTAAACTTCGTCGTTATGATTTTTTAAATCCAACTCTGTATATTTGATATGAAATATAAATTTTGAAAAGAGCATCTCTTTTTTATGCAAAAAAATCGCAAAATGACGGACCAGCCACAAACGAAACTGCTTCTCTTCCGAATAAAACTTCAAACGTTGCAAATAATACGGCGATAAAGTACTTTTTTGCTATGTTGATCTTAGCAACCGTCGTTATGCAAAAATGACTTATTTCTACCGCGAGTAAACACGCCAATTCATTTAATGACGTTTGAAGAAAAAAGAAGTCATAGGCAAAAAACGAAAAAGTCATTTTTTTGTTTTTCGGCCATATTTTAAAAACTAAAACGGCTAGATCTAAAAACTTAGTTGAAAAATGATGAGCTCTGACAATAAGATACGCAACTTTGCTCCCATTTAACCATTTCTGTATCTCTTATGGTTTGTGAGATCACAATCTGGTTTTATACAAAATATTAATGGGACGGTTAACCAAGACAAAAAAAAAAGCCCATAAAGGTGATTCCAAAACATCCACACGAACGTCAGTATACAAGAAGCTGTAGAAAAGTCTACAAGGAATTGAAAAATTAATATGAAAAGCAACCAACGACACTTTTTAAGCACTCAAAGTAACTCTGAATGTCAGGTGTGGTTAAAAGTATACAGGGTGTATCTGAATGACTGCAACAAACTTCAAAGGGTGATTCTTTAGTGAATTTTAAGGGTACTTTGATATATGAACCATGGGCGACTTCGGCTCCTCTAAGGAGCTACATCCCTCCAAAAATGGCGTTACCTTTTT